CTATTTCGTTTCACCTCGACAAAAGCAGTGAATTCAACTTTTAAGGCGGTGTTTTTTCTTCAAATAAAAGTGCTTCGTAAAAACATAAAAAATATGTGATTACGTTTCGTTGTGTGTAAATAGGTATAGGCAAACTAGGTTAAATAATACTTTCATGGTCTCTCTCCTTTTAATCTCGGAACTCTCAAAAGTAACAATTTAATCTCTATATTTTCAAATTTATAACAATTTAATCCTTGAAATTTAGAAGGTAATAATTTAGTCTTTGAAGTTTAAGTTTGTAATGATTTGATCTCCATTGTTAATTTTTTATATATGCAAACCGATAAATCGATGAAGGATCGAATTAGTTTATAAATTATAAAAATTAAATCCTTATATGACAAAAATTGACGCTTAATTTTRATGAGAATTTTCGTGGTAGAGACTAAATTGTGACAAATTTTAAACTATAGRGACTAAATTGTTACCTATTAAAGTTCAGGGACTAAATTGTTATTAATATGAAAGTACAGAGACTAAATTGTTACAATTAAAAGTTCATGGACTAAATCGTTTACGGGGACCAAAGGTGCTTTTTAACCGGCAARCTAAATTGGATTTTTGAGTTGGATAGTCTTCCCAATAAGTCCACTTTGATATATGTCCCCACCCCCARTATTTATGTTTTCTAACTACTTCTGTCAAGTCAAATGAAAATCACTACCCATCTACTAACTTTGACTTAAATTTTTACTTTCCCTTTTTTTTTTCATTTGAATCTTTACTTGTATTCACTCTCACTCTCTCCGTCTTTCTTCCCCATTCTCATCTTCTTCTCTCTCCCTCCTCTCTCTTCATATTTCCTTATCTCTCTTCTTAATATTTCTTGTTCTCTCGTAAAACATAATAAAATCAAAATGTTCAGATTTGTAGGTTTCCGTCCTCTCTTTTTTCTCTGTTCAGATTTGTAGGTTTCCGTCCTCTCTTTTTTCTCTCTTTTCAAAATTTCAAAATTTTTATGGATTTGAAACTTTTCCATTTCTTTACAAAATTTACRAAATGYTATGGTTTYAAACTTTCTTTATCTCTTTTCAAATTTTCTCAATATTAAAATGTAACAGATTTTCCCTACTTTTCCTTTCTCTCCTCTGTTTCACATTTTTTTCAACATGAATCAACGATTTTTTTTTTTTAATATTCTTTGACCACAAAGTAGATGAGTTATGAGGAATTTCACTTTTTTTTTCTTCGAGAACTATATCTTGGCTGTGGGAGAAAATTAAAGTGAGATTGAATGAGAGAAGAGAGGAAATAGAGAAGAAAGAGAGAGAAGGAGCGAGAAAAGAGACTGAGAAGAGAGAGCGAGAAAAGAGAGCGAGAAGAGAGAGAGAGAATAAAGCGAGAAAAGAGAGAGAGAAAAGAGCCCTAGAAGAGAAAGAAAATGAATCCCSATTTTTTTAATTCTATTACTAATTTAGCGGAGGTGGAGATTAGGATCCCGATTAGATTTTTCTAATTCAATTTTTAATATTGTTGAAGGATATATTTTGACAAATTACTAAATGCCACATCACAATTTAAAATTATATTTTGGACCAATCATAAAATTACATGTATCCTAAATTAATTTTAAATCGATAAATCAAATTGTGTCATGTGTTTTTATGATCGTCCGATGAAATCAACTAATTGGATCAGAACCCATGAAAAGACTGGGCCCAAGCCCAGGACCCATATAAGACCCACAAAAACTATATAAATAGATGGGGTCACCTCTCATTTGGAGAATTCGGAAAGATCCAGAAGCATTGGAGATTCAGAGCATTCGGAGCATTCAGAGTCATCTACAACTGTTTAGAGTGCAAACCATCTAGAACCAATAAGACTTGAAAAATGAAAGATTTGAAGACTACGAAACTTCAAGAATTCTGAATCTTCTCTTCTCCAAGCAACTAACCGAAGAACTTCACAAGCTACAAGCCAAAGACTTCACAARCCGAATACCTCAAGAACCAAAGTACTTGAGGATCATTGCATTGCATTACATATTGTGGTGGATAAGTTGTTTGGATTTGATATCATAATGAATGGCAATTGCTGYTTATCTTGCTGCACTTTGAAATGGTTTGAAATTTGTGTTTGCTTTTGGAAACTTCATAATTTTTCTTCTGAAAACTAAGTTTGAAGGCGCTTGTAATGATGTTAGCTTTACTCTATTTCCATTATTCTTGTAATGGTTCTCAAACAAACTCTTTTTAAGTCTAAGTTGCTYCCCATTTCAAATAAATTTATGGTTGGTGTTTGCAATRCATAGAAACTCAAGTGAAGTAGCAGAAGAAGTTCATCCTAAACCAATGTGTGATTTTGAAATAGGTTCACCRAATCCAAATGAGAGGATATCATGTAATGGCTTCACATGACCCATGTGACAAAAAGACAAATAATCTTAAATTTATGTAAGTGTACCATTTTACCATTACCTTTCTGTTCTTTACCGTCCAACCAAATGCAAAAGAAAATTATGAAAAATGTATTGGTTTTGCTTATACTTCTTATCCAAGAACCAAGTCAAAAGTTATGAGATCAATGTTCCTTTCCCTTCCCTTTTTTAGGTTACTCTACAACTTTTACTTCAAATTAGTTTACATTTATGATGTATTTGCTTTGGTTGTTTACTCGATGAGATTGGACAATGTTGATGTGGTTTGCTTGTTTACTCGATGAGATTAGACGATGTTGATGTGATTTGCTTTGATTTATTTTGATGTTGGTGTGAATGGGTTGAGTCTCTTTTGTTTGTTTTTATTTAGGAGGTTTAATTTTATCTTATTAATTCACATGATGTCTTCGTCTGAGTTTTCTAAAACAAGTCATTCTAGTCAAACTCTTCCATCRGGTGACTTTGATAATCCTAACCTTGCTGCTAGTAGTAAAGTAAGATTGATTGGTAAAAGAAAACGCTCTAAAGGTTGTTCAGATGTATGGGAACATTTTGTTAGAGTAGAAGGATGTGATATTGAATTTCCTAGGGCTGCTTGTAAATATTGTGGAACTACATATGCATGTGATTCT